TTCCTACCTGGAATAATATTATTGACGGAAGAACACATTCACTTTCTCATGCATTGCAGAAAGTAATTCAAGTGCCACACGGACCTTTACCTGTCATTAAATATACACTGTCTGGGTCTACATTGCGAGCCAAACGGCTGTATCTTCCATCAGAATTATCTTGTCCATAAATAACACACAGCTTGTGATGGCTTGGCACTGTTTTAACTCTGTATGATCGAGCATCAGGATGTGCCTGCACAAATTATACTTACGAAATAAAAGATCAACCAAAACATTATGATGTGAAGAGATAAACCACACTTCACCTTGATATAAACATCCCAGATATGATCTTCAGCTGTTACCATTTCTCGTTTTTCATCCCAAGAAAAGCCCACCTGGTCTAAAAGAATTTTAACTTCGTTGTACTGCCTCCTCAAATGTTTGTATCGATTCTTCAGAACATCTTTGTCATGGTGAGATCTGAAGTTTGCATTGAATGATGTAACCATGTCAAACCAAGCCTGGCTATTAAATGTCTGTCCAATTCTGTTTCCTCTATGCACTTGGTCTAGCAGTAAGTCAATAAAGTAGCGATCCATTGGTGGTGTCCAAAATGTTCTCGAACGTTCGCTACCTGCAAACTCAACATCTCGTTTGTCTGAGTAACCCTTAAACAAGGGAAATGTTTTAGAGTCCCAAAAGAAGTATGATTGTAAGCAAATCAAGACCTGAGACACCACGGCCTAGCAGTTATTAGTTTCCCACCTATATAACTATGATCCTAGACTCTATGTTTTTGTGATATCATCAATCTTGTTCTTGTATTATCATCAATTACTGAAAGAACTTGAGGCCCATAACATAGGCTTCCCAATATATTGAGGTGAAATTTGAAGACAACTACCGAGGAGACTGGAAAACATGGAAACGCAATGTCTGGAGGGCCACAGAGAAACAGAGGGGAAGAAAACAAAAGGCGGGGATTAAGGTGGGTAAAACTGACCTGAAAAACAATTGGCAGAGGCCTATTAATTCTGTTTCATTACTGATGGATCTAAATCAACAATTGAAAGAGGAGTCCTATGAAAATGTTTACCATCTAATGGAATTCAATTTCCCATTGTTTACAACATTCAAAAGTTTAACTATAAACAAATCCTCGTACGTTTTAAATGTCTTCTCATCTACATCTCCACCTAACCCCAATTTCTCATGGACTTTCGAAGAGCCTGTTAGCATTCTGATCGTGAAGTCGGTCTCAATTTATGTGACTGTCCACCATCATGCAATAACAGACATGTAAAAAATCATACCAATTCTAATAGTGGAGAAGTAATCCTAAATTCTATTGTTCTTTTCTTTTGCAATGAACAATAACAAATTCCAAGTAGGAGTTAAAGTGTAACGTACCAGTCTTTACTCCTATAACGTCATCTTCAAGTTTCTTATCCTGAGGCAAATCACTCTGACTATCGTTGATTGCGTCTCCAAATATCAATCCCAAATCTTTGAAATTGGGCAAAGTTTTCATTCTATATGATCGCGCATGCGGCTGTGCCTACATTTATGTAAAGAAAGCCACTTATCAACAACAAATAAACTACGTAAAAACAAAGAGCAATTTATATACCTTAATATAAGCATCCCAATCATCATCAGAAGCAGTAATCATTTGTTGTGTCTCTTCCCAGGAAAAACCATTTTGTTTCAGCAGAAGAGAAATATCACTGTAGTACTTCCACAATTTTTTGTATCGATGTCTTAAAACCCTTTTATTGTGATGAGGACCAAATTTCATGTTGAAAGATGTGAGCATATCTGTCCATGCTTGTTTACTGAATGTATTTTCAAGCTTGTTGCCTTTCTCTTGTTGATTCAGCATTAGTTCAATGAAGTATCGGTCCATGGCGGGTATCCAACCTGTTCTTGAACGTTCACTATTTGCAGGAATTAGACTTCCAATTTCATCACCTGCAGAGAGAAAAGCTATCAGAAAAGAAACGAAAATGATAGACAAATATTGTCATTGGATATATAAATCGTCAGGAGAGGTGTCTCATTAAGCATTCATCTAGTTAAGCACCAAAAGCATATTTCTCTGCTGGCATAACACAACCTTTGTCTAGATCTACAACAGGAAAAAGAAGACGGACCCGAATTCACTCCTTGGCCTTCATCTTCGATGTCTATATCATGACTTGAACGGCTGTATCTTCCATCAGCTATCGTATATCCATATATCAAGCATAAATCATTGAAGTTCAGCACTGCTTTAGTCTTGTAAAGCCGTGCATCTGGGTGAGCCTGCGTCCTTTTCAATGTTAAGTAAAAGCAATGATTTAGGGAACTGTGTGGAAGTAGAAAAAAAAATGCACCTTGATGTATGCATCCCAGACATAATCATCAGCTACCACCATTTCCTTAGTTTCATCCCAAGAAAACCCATTGTGGCCAAGAAGATTCTTAATATCATTGAATTGCTTCCACAAATTGGTGTAATGGCTTTTCAGTACGTCTTTATCAAATTGAGATCCAAATTTTGCATTAAATACAGCAAGCATATCTGTCCATGCTTGTTTATTAAATGTGTGACCACTCCTATCCCCTCTGTGCAAATGCTCTAACATAAGATCAATAAAATAGCGTTCCATTGTTGGCGTCCAATATGTCCTTGGCCGGACATTTCTTGAGGTATTTTGGCAAACCATTATTTACCTGCAAATTACAAAAAACATACTTCAATTATATATCTAAACAGAGCCAATAATTTATATTAATGCATGAATTTTTTTCTTAGTAGTTTATGGAAAGCAAATTATATTAGTAATAGCATGCAATAGAGGTCTTAAATAAACTTATATTGCTAACTATAGTAGACCTACAGGATGAAAAAAATAGCATGCAATAGAGGTCTTAAAAAATGGTATCGCTGTTAATAATATATATGCAGTTTGTACCTCACAAACAATAAAAGCAAATCAGATTCCAGTCTATATAATTATAAAATAAGGTATAGCTAGTCCTAGAGTAAGCATCTATCATTCAAATCATAGTGAAGTATATCAAAGTTCTCTCAGAATGAATAACTCAAGCTTTAATACAGCAAGCAAGACATAAATATAGTTTGCCTAAAGGCTGTGCATTTGGTAACTGCAAGACTGCATACCACAAAATGTACATTCAATCAGTTAATCACATTGACCTGTCAAAAACTAGATAACTATTGACAACATTTGACGAAACAAAAACTATTTCATCCATATGATAGAGTAGAAATATTTCCAAGGTTTTTTGTAAGCTTCATTCAGCATATGTTCACTCACAGTATAAGACAGAATCAAGTAGACTCACACAACCCCTTACTCTTATGATTCTGTCTCGAGACATATGGGCACAAAATGTCAGATTTGGTCTTCTATAGCAGTGTGACACAAAGAAGATTCAGAGAGTTTCCATCAACTATATGCATTTTAATCTTCCCGAAAGTTATAAACAAAAGATCGGTGATATTAAAAAAAAAATCAGAATTGGAGTCAATATGGTCTTGAAATTGCACAAGACCTCCACCATAGAGGTGAAATACCACCCATCTCGATAGCAGGACCAAATGCAGAACACCCAGAAAAACAAGGAAGAGAATCTGAACAATTCAATTTATAAGTCAGCTTCAAAATCACCAAACTAAATTGTGTTTCAAATTTTTTGACCAATGAACAATCAAATCGATAATTCAACTTCAAAATCACAACACGGAATTGGGTTTCAAGTATTTGAACAAACCCAGAGCCAACCAGAATTATTCAACTGAGAACTAAACTCCAAAATCACAAAACCAAATAGGGTCTCAAGTTTTCGATCCATTTATTACATATTATTGAGTGAGCCCAGAAAAATAAGTTTTGAGTTGTGAGCAACAGAACTACATTGTCGAGCCAAAACAGAGATAAATTCAATTGAACCATCTAAAATCCATTGAAATGAAGAGCTTATATATGAGAAGGTAAGAAGATACCAGTTTTTTGTTTGGAGCCAAAGAAGTGAGAAGTTCTGGTACGGGGGCGATTGGCAAAGACGAAGAGTAAACCCTACTCCCAAATAAGGACTAATCGTCAACCTGTTTGGTTACAAAGGCAGCCAAAGTTTAGTCCATAGTTTTAAAAACCGGCCCGGACATCAACCTAACAAAGGGATCGGGTCAATGGGTAACTAATTCAACCGTTGAGTCACTGGTTGAGTCAGTCAAATAATAAAAAAATAAAAAATAATTTTAAATAGGTTAAAAAAATCACAATAATTATAAAATAGCATGCTTAATGTATATTAGATCAAACAAAACCCCAAAATCATCAAAACTATATCCAATATCAAATAATTAAGTTCTTCCAATTCCAAAGTTCCAACACCTAATAGGATAATCAACTACAACATTACAAATACAAATCAACTAATAGCATAATATAAGAGCTGAATGAATCTTCAAATCAAGTAATAGCACAATTACAAACATATTATAATAGCATTCATCAAAGAATATCTTTACTATTTCCCTGTCAAGCATCTAGAATTGCTTTTTCTATGGGTTAATCTTTACTATTTCCCTGCTGAATTCATCAAAGAATATCTTCAGATCAATCTGGGTTCTTATAGAAAAAAGCCTTCATTGTGCTCACCGAACTTCACCAAAACCAAACCCACCAAAAACTGAAGACCTCACCCCGCCCAGTTACAACTAGTGCAACGAGAAGTCAACCAACAACTACCAACCAAACAACCTCAATATAGGAGGAGAGAGAGAGAGAGAGAGAGAGAGAGAGAGAGAGAGAGAGAGACTTAATACCTGAGACGATAGAGAATGATGAATAGGCTAAAAATCACAATAATTAATGAAAAGAAGCTCATTGTGAACTACTGCAAATAAAAATAACAAGTTTAATCAATAAAATTTGACAGATTTCATAATTGAAATCAAATTGCAATTATAATTGAAACCAAATATACTATTTGCTGCCCAATTGATGTTCCATGTATCATCATAATTGAAATCAAATTGCAGATTTCATGTAGATGGATGAAAATTCTAACTTTGAAACCCAGCTCCAGAACTCAATTCTGGTAAGTTTCGGTCAGAGAGAGAGAGATGATGATGATGATGTACCTGCTGTGTCGTCCACGGAGCTCTGGCCAGTGAGTCCCTTCCGCCTCGACTTCGAGCATTCGCCGTTCAAACTTTGCCTTCGACTTCGAAATAGCACAGAGAAGAGAGAGAGATGGAAGACTCAGACTGAGAGAGAGCGGGAGATAGAGAAAGAAGACTGGAGTGAGGAGGTCGTCGGACCTCGGACGATCGTGACAGGAGCAGCCAGAAATCGAGTTGGGGCAAAAAATGCCCAAAAGAGCTGAAACATTGGTTTTTATTCCTTTTAAATTGATCCGGCCGGTTCGTTCAAAACCGTCCGGGTTAAACTTTTTACTCCAGAAGCGGGCGGTTCCATGGATTTTCTCCGATTTTTGTGCGTAAACGATCCTTTATAAGAACCGGGCCGATTTGGCAGGTTTCCAGGTTGACCCGCCGGGCCGGACATTAAAACACTGGTTTAATCGCTTACGTCACAAACTCTACATTAAATTTTGTGAATTGTGTATGCATGTGCGGCTCCTCTATGGTAGATTGGTTATTGCATATTATGCAGTTAAATAGAACTGCAACGTTTTAGTGTAGTTTTCAATTTATTTTTTTTAATTGTTCTTACCAAAAACATCATCGTTGGAGTCCTTAAAATTAAAATTAGAATCTCTTTTCATTCTCTTGCTTCTTCTTCATCAAACTTTAACCTAGTTTGACAACTACTTCTCTCGCCTTCTTCTCAACTTATTCTTCCTCTACTTCTTCGTCAAATGCAGTGAATGCCAAGAGTCAGACCTCTTCATCAAATGACGGTACGGTATTGAAATCAAATTTCACATGTGTATGTTTCATTATGAAACTAATAGAGCTAAACCATATTTCATATGTGTATGTTTCATTATGAAATTAATAGAGATATTTTATAATTATATAGCTTCCCAATATATGCATATGTGTGTGGAGGCATTCAATTGAGTCTTAAATCAGATGAATTTTTCAGAACATACTGCTGAAAAACTTGAAATTAAAAAAAAAATATGAGTTCCCAAAAAATCATGGGGTCTACACATTTAAGTCCTTGAATTTGTTCTCTTCAGAAGATGGCTGGTTTTCTAAGTCAGATTGTCAGACTTCTTCGATCATTCTAACAACTTCATCCATGTTAGGCCGCATGTCTGGCACCCTTGCAACACATGTCATGGCAATTTGTAGCATTTGCATCATCTCTTCTTCAATGTTTTGAAATCTCTTAAACTCTTCATTAAAAACTTCAGCCGTCAATTTGCTTGTTTGTTTTAAGACCTTATGAGTTAATAATATTAATATTTTTAAACAATTAATATTTTCTATTTTTTGTGGTCAATATTGTTCTAGTTTGATTTTTATTTTTTTTTTAAATGTCATACATATATTATGTGTTTCATTCATCACATAATATCATTTCAATTAAATTTCTTATTGTAGGATACTATGATGAATGATTTGGGAGTTAATGCGACTGAGAATAGACCTCATATTGATATGCAATTTGATACTAAATATGATGTTTATGTGTTTTACAATAATTATGGAGGATTTGTGGGATTTAGCGTGAGAAAAAAAATTTAGAATAAAAGTTTGAAAGATGGTGTTATTATTTACAGAAAATATGTTTATTGTAAACATGGTCAAAAGATTTGTGATAAAAGAGAGTGACAAATAAGGAAACATTGAGTAGAGATACAAACAAAATGTCAAGCTCATATGTGCATATCTTTTAATAGAGAAATTGACAAATTTATTATGGTAAAATGAGACAACAACCACAACTATTCTTTGCACCTCATTGAATATATGCATATAATGGCATTCCAATGAAAGGTTATCGGAGCACAAAACATTAATATTGATATGATAGCCGATTGTAAAATATCACTTAAGGCATCCTATGAACTTTTAAGTACTCAATCGGGAGGAAAAGAAAGTTTAGATTTTACTCGTCAAGACCAAAAGAATTACCTCCATAAAAAGAGGCAACGAGACTTAAGGTATGGTGAGGCGGGTAGTTTGTTAAAGTATTTTTAAATGGAATCAGTTAAAAATTCATTAATCTATTATGAAGTGCAATTGGATGCGGATGGGCATATTACTAATATTTTTTGGCCGACCCAAAGATGATTATTAATTATGGCAACTTTGAGGATATTGTCTTATTTGACACTACTTTTAGAACGAACAAGAAGTATCGACCATTTACTTGTTTTACTAGCATCAACCATTTCAGAGAGATAATCTTATTTGAAGCTACATCATTGAATGATGAAACGACAACATTATTTCAGTGGTTATTTGAGACATTCCTACAAGCTATGTTTGGAAAATATCTTATTACCATCTTCACTGACCAAGATCAAGCGATGACTAAAGTTATTTTTCTAGTGATGCCAGAGACATATCATGGGTTATGTTATTGACACTTTTGCCAAAATACTTTGAAACATTTAGGGAACATATATAAGGATAGTTCATATTTTTTTGCTTGATTTAAAAAATATGTGTATGGATATGAGGAAGAGCATGAATTATTTGAAGCTTAGGAATCGTTGATTGTGGAGTATATTTTGCATGATAATATGTGAATGAAATTCACTTAGGCATTACAAGAGATATGGGGGCATGTGTATATGAAAAATATTTTCACTGTAGGAATAAGAAGCACCAAACTGAGTGAGAGTTTGAATGCACTCTTACGGAAGTACTTAAAGTCAAACTGTGACATTGTTCAGTTCTTTGTACATTTTGAAAGAGTTGTGAATGATAAGCGGTATAAGGAGTCAAACTCATAATACCAAACTAAGCAAAAATTACCTAGAATGAAGTTAAAAAAAACTTCAATGTTAGTGTAAGCAAGGCAACTCTACCCTCCTATTATATTTGAACTATTCCAAGATGAGTATAATATCTTTCAGTGTGCTAATGTAACACCATGTAAAGTGTTGGATGGGTGACATCAATTTGTGGTTTGATTATTTGAAGAACATAGAGAGCATTTGATCTTAGTTAAGGCTAATGAGGAGATAGTCAATTATAGTTGTTAGAAGTTTGAAATGGAGGGCATATTATGTAGCCATGCACTTAAAGTCTTGGACATGATGAATATTAAACAAATTTCTGAGCAATACATTTTTAAAAGATGGAGACGAGCTACAAGACAAAGTTGTACTCAAGCCCCTCGTACCATGCCAAATGATGAGGATCCCAAGTTAAATGGTGGTGTCACGTTACAGACAACTTTGTCCTACAATAGTACAACTAGTTGCTCGATGCTCTGGTCTTCAACCTGCATATCAACTGCTGTCACGTGGTGTTATGGAATTGTTCAAACAAGTGAATATTATGTATGCATCATTTGTTGATGGTGGCAATGATTCAATCCATGAATAAGGAATAGAAAATGTTGACACAAACCTTCTCTAAGTTAAAGTTTTTAAAAAAAAAGGTTACAAACGTTGGGGTCGACTAAAATTTTGGCATGAGAAAGCATCAAAGGAAAAAAAAAATGAATTTCACAACCATCACATACGTCTAAGGTATCGTATAAATATAATTGTAGGTTTTTTTATTCACTTCATATTTTTATAAACATAAATGTACTTATAATAAGTTTCGACATGTTTTTATTCACTTTATATTTTTATAAACATAATTATAAATATTTTTGTATTCTAGGTACATGGTTTCAATCACCCTTGTATATCAGCATATGTTCATTCGAATATATTGTCTTCTACAGCTTCAAATAGTTTACAATGTGTTACCTTTATTACTAATTTTATCGTTTCACTTATGTATCAAGTTTCTTTCTCTAACCCTTTCTTATTAATATAGGATATTCTGATTGATTCAACATATGTGCATTTTTAAATAATGTTGAATCATTGTTCATGAATGAGGGATACAACTTGTAAGAATGCTTGGGGAATCAGCAGTTATAAGGATCTTGGGGACTACTAGTTGCTTGTTGGATCATTTTGTTGAAAACCATTTGTTTTGTTTTTTTAATGAATATGATCATGATGCGTGATTATGATTATGATTATGTGTCATTTTTTTAAAGAATGTAATCTTTTTTTATGAACATGATCTTTTTTCCAAGTCACAAAATTATACAAAACCCATAATTTCATTCAAATTAAACCCACAAGTTCATTTACAATGCAAGTTCCATCAATACACCATTGATTTTACATCTCTACTTCACTAAATTCACAAACAAAAGCTTCACCACTAGTAACGTGACTACAAACATATATGACTTCATTGTTCCTTCTTTTACCTATACACGTTGAATTATATTACAGAGTTCTTCAACTTCAACGTCATTACATCTTCTTCAATTTTTCGTACATCTATCATTTCATTTGTAATTTTCGAATAAGGTAGAGTAATAGGAGTCATCCACTTAAAAAATTGACATCCCTCATCTGGACATTTGTAGTATAGCTTCCCAGGATTTTTTTTCAGATTCAAAAACTTTGATAGTCTTTATTTTCTTACAATTGGTGCATTGCATATTATGATATCTTAACTCGCTGTTGCTTGTTGTCGTACTTGAAGATGTCATTCTTCAACACTACAAACATGAATGGATAATGGTAATTAAAAATTAATATTAAAAGTTGCAGCTCATTCATTCATATTCATTCATTCGTGTTACTGGTATAGCAAATTGTAGTAGTGCTCCAAACTGCAGTGTTGGTATAGCAAAATACAATAGTGCTCCAAACTAAAATAGTGTTCCATTGTTGGCGTCCAGTATGTCCTTGGTCGGACATTTCTGGAGGTATTTTGGCAAGCCATTATTTACCTGCAAATTACAAAAAACATACTTCAATTATATATCCAAACAAAGCCAATAATTTACATTAATACATGAATTTTTTTCTTAGTAGTCTATGGAAAGCAAATCATATTAGTAATAGTATGCAATAAAGGTCTTAAATAAACTTATATTGTTAATTATAGTCGACCTACAAGATGAAAAAAAATAGCATGCAATAGAGGTCTTAAAAAGTAGTATCGTTGATTGTAATATATATGCATTTTATACCTTGCAAACAATAAAAGCAAATCAGATTCCAATCTATATAAAATAAGGTATAGCTAGTCTTAGAGTAAGTATCTTTCATTCAAATCATAATGAAGTATATCAAAGTTCTAACTCAAACTTCAATACAGCAAGCAAGACATAAATATAGTTTGCCTAAAGACTGTGCATTTGGTAACTGTTAGACTG